ATATATATATTAACTGTAGCGGTAGCCACCTTACCAGGTCTGTTCTCCTTATTACTGCTAGAGTCCAGGGAATGGTCTTGGGGGCGGAGAGGTTTTGGCCGATCTACTAGTCCATTACTAGGCTCGGTTGTCCAACTAAGACGGAATTTAAGTGTTGGACCTTTACTGAACACTTCAAATGGTCCACAATCCTACACAGAAGAATTACATTCAGTACTCACTTCTCAGGATGCAAAAAATTAACAGCACAAGATCTGTCAATAACACACATTTAACGGAATATTTTTACCTCATTATATAACATGTATATATATATATATATATATATATATATATAACACGAATCAGAATAGCTGTCATTTTGATTTCTGTCATTTTTTATTTATTTCCCAGAATCAGAAAGAAGTATTGGAAAGTACTGAGGGGGAAAACAAAAAGGATCAAATTAGAAATAACATTTTTAGAGAAGGTGGAATTAAAAATTTATTAATACAGTTTGAGGAGAAATATTTATAATGGTTTGGCCAAGTGACAAAAACTCTGAGACAAAGATAACGAGAAGGATATTACATGCTCATGACAGTTGCGAAAGAAATATCAAAATATAAGTTAGACTTAGTGGGAGTATAGGAGGTCAGATGGGACAAAGGTGGCACCAAACCAGCAGGCTAATATACATTTTTCTATGGAATGTAATGTAATGTAATGTACGTATGGGGTGGGCCATAAAAATTGGTCCCCACACTACGACCTTCAATGATCTATTGTGCTTCCCTTGGATTAGCCCTTTATTAATCCTACACTTCTAATAAAGTGTAGGACATTGCTTATGGGGACATCATAAAATGCACTTGGTTCCATAAAAAACTGACCCAAGTGACAAAATCTTAAATAAGCTATGGCCTCACAATCACACAAGATGTGTGTAGCTGATCTGTTTTCTTGTAGGCACCTTTCACAAGTTTGGTGATCTGTCATTCCCAGCTTGACAAGGTGTCCTTTTAGGTGGCAGTGTCGGATAAGTAATCCTACCACCCATCTTAGTTGATCTCCGTTTAATCTCAACAATCCTTTTTTTTTCTATAGGAAGGGGAATGAGAATCATGAATTAGGTACAGGCTATTTCAAACACAAAAGAATCTTATTAGCAGTTAAGAGGACAGAGTTTGTTAGTGATAGGATGTCATACATAATACCAAGAGGTCGATGGCATGATATTACTGTTCTAAATGTTCACGTGAAAACACAGGATAAAATTGATTATATGAAGGACAGCTTCTACAAGTTACTAGAATGAATATTTGATAAATTCCTTAAATACCATACAAGGATTTTGTTAGGAGATTTTAATGTCAAAGAGGATAGGGATGACACTTTCAAACCAATGACTGCAAATGAGAGTTTGCATTCATCAGATACTGGAGAAAAATTGGGAGTACAATGAGACAATACATCACCTACTCATAGACTTCAGGAAAGCCTATGATTCAGTAAGGAGAGAAGTATTGTACAACATTCTCATAGAGTTTGGGATACCCATGAAACTAACTAGGCAGATTAAAATGTGTTCAAATGAAACCTGTAGTAAAGTACATATAGGTAAACACTTGTCTGATACGTTTCCTATCCAGAATGGTCTGAAACAAGGATATGCTTTATCTCCACTCCTTTTCAGCTCTGCTTTAGAATATGACTTTAGGAAGGTTCAGGAAACTAGGTGGGACTGAAATAAAACCGGACACATCAGCTGCTGTCTGTGCCAATGATGTGAATCTACTGGGTGATAACAGAGAAACCATAAAGAAAAACACACAGACTTTAACTGACACAAGTAAGGAGGTTGGTCTCGACTTAAATGCAGAGAAAATGAAATATATGTTGCTGTTTCTTCACCAGAATGCAGGACAGAATCGTAAGAAAGTTAGATAATAGATCCCTTGGAAATGGGGCACAGATACTTATAAATGTCTGTAACAAATCAAAATTTGATTCAGGAGTAAATAAAGAGGAGACTGAATTTGGGCAACGTTCGCTACCATTCAGTCCAGAAGCTTTTGTCTTCTCATCTGCTGTCTAAAAATGTAAAGATCTAAATATACAAAATTAATTTTTCCTGTGGTTCTGTATCAGTGTGAAACTTGGTCTCTGACATAAGGGAGGAACATAGACTGAGGGTGTTTGAGAACAGGGTGCTCAGGGGAATATTTGAACCAAAGATAGATTAAGTGATAGGAGATTGGAGAAAACTGCATAATAAGGAGCTTCATAACTTATACGCTTCACCAAATTTAATTAGAAGTATGACTGTAAAGGTTTAATTGCCCCTCCCAAAAGGAGGAGGAGTGGGGGTTCTCTGGTCATAACGCACAAAAGGCTTGGCATTAAACTGCCAGTTGTAAAGTGACCCTGGCTGAACTGTGAACAGCAAGTCTGCCAGCCAGGTAGGACAGGAGGTAATGAACATGGAAGCAGCAAAGACAATCCCCATTCTCAGAAACCACTATCAAGCAACAAGTATGTGAATACGTAGCAAAATGGGAAGACTTGAAGAATACCGTAGTTACTTACAGATCATGCAGAATAGTGAAAGTATTGTAATTACTTGTAGTTACGAATTTTAAGCTGTCAGCACATTCAACGACGTGTTTAGTCACTAAAATGTAACATTGTAATTCATCCTATTGGGTGTGTGTGCAGTTCTTTCATGTTTAATTTAAAATCTTCAGGAGGGGGAAAAACACTTACCTCCTTTATCTCACCAATGGTTTCCCAGGATGATAGTTTCTTTGGTGACCCCTTCACATTGGCTTGTACTTCCTGCAGTACCAATTCATAATCACCATCAGTCAGAAGGCAACGATTATGTTTATCATAAACTATTAATTCAGAACCAAATAATTTTGTGTCTTCCAACAATCCCTTTACTGGACCTGATGACTTCCTCCTCTTCTGTGCCGGTTCTGTAATATAAATTCAGTGAATTAAATATCAGTGCAAAGTAAACACAAAATCTGTCAATGCTCTGTTAGGCCATTGGTCTATACATACATGGACTCTGAACAAGGCAGCAAAGAATTGGCAGTACAATTCCTCTACTAACATTTTTAAAACGTTGACAATTAAATTTCAGAATGCATTTAATCTAAATAAAACAGAATAAAAAGTACAATTCCTCTACTAACATTTTTAAAGTGTTGACAATTATATTTCAGAATGCATTTAATCATAAATAAAACAGAATAAAAAATTTTTCATTCACTACTGAAGTTAACACAAATCAAAGCATAAAAGGTTTACTCACAAAGACCTAATATATATAAGCATGTAAGTATTCTGTTCCTTCTGTTTTCTACTGTGGACCTAATAGAGATGACCAAAAATAATATGGAATGCACTCCACATTTTCATTTTGCCAGTGGTAGCCATAGTCAAAGCAACATGCATGTACTGTGGTTCAGTTTTTGGTTGAGATGGAACTTTTGTTATTAGATAAGGAAACGTAACTTTAATTTTTTTTTAATCTGAGTGATCTGAGGTATTTCTGCCTGTGGTAAATAAATGGCATGGCATTCTGTCCATTTACTAATGTTGTCATATACAGAAAGCACTATATTTCACAATATGAGCACTATTCAGAAAGTAACCTCTTGTGAGCCGTTAACAAAACAAGCAACAAGAAAAAAAAGTATTATATATAAAAAATACATATGTACCTCAGCTGCTTCTCAACATAGTGGAAGGAATTGGCTGTAGCCTAATTTGAGGTACTACCCTGGCATCTGCATGGAGGTAATTTGGAAAACTATGAAACTAGTACTTCAGTCTGGAGAGTCAGTGTCCTGGTTGCAATCAAACCAGGCACCCCCAAAATATAAGAGGTGTTACCTATACATGAACCTGCTCAGCAGACAGGGTATTAATTACCATACTAAGAATATGAACATCACACCACCTAATTCCTCACGGAAGAATGCAGGAGTTGGAAATCCATTAAATTCATCCTTCAGTTTCCATATGGTTGGCTGTATTACACAATCGACATCCCCACTTCTGTGCTACATTATGCAGCTATATGATGGGTAATTCTGAACCTGCTGTAATGTCCACAGCAAAACTTTGAAATAGATAACAAAATTAAGATCACTGTGTTTTGTAAAGTGATGCTGTGTCATCTGATAGCGGTTTGCTGACATTTTGGAAGACTGTCTTGTGTGGCAAGAAATGGTAAGATATAGGGACAGAAGATTATTTTGCTATTCTGCTAACTCCTATTGATTCACTCAGGGCCCTTAACTCACCTGATCCTCTACCTATATCTGCACTACGTTTCCCACATTTGGCCTACTCTTCTACCCTAAAGATGGAGGCGGCAGGTTCCTCCAAAACACTGGTAAACATCTACCAGACTACAGAGTGTCAACTCCCAGAAGACAGCAACTTTATAGTTACCTCCATGAAATCTCTGACAAAAAGTGTTTTTTTAAACAATTCATACAGTGACTTAGGGAGAAAACTGTATGGCATTTATGTTGCAATCTTTCTATAACACACAGTTGTTATGGTTACCAAAGCAACACCCTTCTGAAAGTAAGGACTTCTAGATATTGTGACATGTGTTACATGTGTTACATTTGCATTAAAAAATGATCACACATTATAGCGCTGCTTCACCCGTGTGCTTACCTGTGTCTCCATCTCCATTTGACATAAGTAAACCATTTGAAATACACGAAACTCGCAAAAGCAATACATATGACTTGACCAGATGACCATTCGACAGATTAAATGATTCTGTTGGTATTGATATTGTCGGAGCTTTTGGAGGAGGGTGGTCTTCGGACGGATTAATGGGCACTTCACTGATGCCCACTGACATCTACAAATTAACAAAACAAAATCTTACTCTTTTAATTTAGTTCAACCAATCTGGTTATCAAATACAATACTGCAGTCTTACAACATGGACTTCATGTAGATGACATGGCACTCTAGGCAATCAGCAACTTATAAATATGATGCACAAGAATATCAATTCTTTCCAATGGAAAAAAAAAAAATCACTTGATGTATATACAGGATTAATCTGAAATGTGCTGATGAACCTTGGGGATGAACTCCACATACCCAACCAAGAAAACAAATTTGATAAACATGTGTCCAAAAATTCTTTCTTTTCCAGTTACAGTCCAGCAAATTTAGTGGCCATTACAACTGACAGTTTCAATTTTGGTGGCTCTTATTTTACTTGCAGAGCAGAAAAAGCCTGCCACAGACTTACCTACTAAAACAAATGGTTATTATGGCCAAAAAATACATGCAATAAACTGTGTGTGTGTGTGTGTGTGTGTGGGTGCGCGCAAGTCCACAAGAGAGAGCACATGTGTGTAAATGATGACCCAGCAACTGAAATCTATACCATTAAATAACTTCCTGCTCTTTTATCATCATACCTGTATACTAACCTGCATTATAGGAGATGACACATCTTTTCTCTTTTTGTGACAAATTTTAAGCAGAAGAGTTTCTACTTTTACTGGTTCTTGATGTGTATCCACTTAAAAAATAAAAAAATATAGATTCAGAAACATATTCTTAGTTTGCATCTACATTATGAATTGTATTCACATGTCAATTACCAATACAATATCACAGACACCTGAGAATACTGAAAAATATGTTACCTTTCTTATCATAGAATCCAAGAAAAGTGAGGGTCATATACCCCTCAAGATTACCAGGTTGCATTTCTCTGTTTTTCATGTTAATTCTGTCCAATAAACAGTCAACTTTAAACCCTTTACGATGTTTATGAGAGCGAGACATGCGTTGCTTCATGTAGCTAAGTGTTCTGTTCAGAAAAACAGGCTGGAAAAAAGAAATGTAATTATAAGGTGGAAATTTGCTACCAAATATATGCACAATTTTTCACTTATAGAAACTGTATGGAACTGAAAATACAGGTGACTCATTATACGCAGGACCTGCATTCCTGAAACCCACTGTGTAAAACCAGAAACACACTGAACAAACACTCAGTGCTGTGGAGGACCAGGTAATGCATGACTGGGTCAAAATGATGGGGCAAGTCAGAAAAACTTCCCGTATGAGTCACTGGGCACGTGCAGCAGCTTCTGCCATGGCTGCAGATAGGATATTGATGCTTCTCATGATGCTGAACTGAAACCGCACATATGAAAAGACTGAGACAACAAAAATATGTATAACAAGAGTCACCTATAATTTACTGATGATCTTTCTCTATATTTCATTCTTGAGGTATGACATAAGTAAGGTAAAGTTATCCCAGGACTTTATTAATTAAGGACCACACCATGAAGACATATGTTGAGTGGAGGTATAGCTCCACCATTGTCAACTTTGGCACTGGATGGAGGCAAGTGGTCAACTTTGTGCCCCTGCCTCTTTAACCTGGTGAAACAACCCAACTATCCAGTCTGGACATTACAGAGAAGAGAAAACTCTCTTACCCTTGCTGGGAATCAAACCCTGACTCCTCAGCTGTTTTATTTTCAGGACCACAACTCTGCCTGGGTGTCTCCCAGTCTTTTATCTTTTATAATAAATGAAGCATATAAGGATATAGTAATTAACTACTTTCACTTCCATATTTGCCTCACTATATAAAAAAATGAATGCTTATGAGGCAACCAGGTCTTTGTCTCACTGAACCCAATAGTGGGTATTCAATTCAGTACAAAAGACATATCACTCAAGTACGCACCACAATCACAGGAATGAACATATGCAGGTAAAAAAGTAAAGCTATCCCTGTAACAGGCCATGAAGGCCCATAGAGCTGTGAGACGTTGAGGGTCCCGCATTATCTAGACAATCGGCTCACAGATGGCGGTAGGGTTGTCCGCCTTACGTGCCAGCCATGCTTTACTCTCCAGGAAAATTATTTAATTAATTCTTGGTACTCATTTCTGTTAGAGGCTGAGTCGACCCCAGAGCCATAGTGCGGCCGGAAGGATTGGTAAATTTTATTACAAATTTTGACAAATTATTCACATTGTAATGGGACATATCTTATATAATCACCTTGTTTTTCAATATGTTTAGTCCAACGGTCCATATGTTTTCTGATTCTTTCAGAATTAAATGTTTTCAGTTGGTATTTAATAAATCATTTCAGTACTTGTTTGACTTTAATAGATGAAGTTCTGATGAACTTTTATCAATGGTGATTCTTCAGTCCTAAATTCACTGATCAACTGGCCATTTAACTTGAATTCATGTTACAGCTGATGGCTGTCCAGAATGTGCACAATCAACAACACTGATCTGGCTTCCTTTGAATCTTGCCAGCCGCCCAAACATGCTTCTGGGTCATACAGTTATCACCATACTAAACTGTTATACAGCTGCGTATTTCAACAGTTCTGACACTCTCTGACTATAAAAATTCTGTGTTTTGGTGCACTCCATCAAGATAGCATACTATATGTACCTTGTGCTTTAATAATAACATCTACACATTTTGCCCACAGGGTGTATTTATGGGTTGTGTGAACCTAAGAATAACAGCAATTATTTCCATATATAGAATTGACGGAATAATCTTTTTAACAGAGATGCAGTGTGTTTTGCGTGTGACAAGAGAATTATTTAAATATTGTTTACATCAGGGCTGTCCAACTCATTGCATGCAAGCCACAGGAGTATTCTTCCAGTCCCCAAAATTTGAGTTAATGCTCGCCTCCTCCTCAAAATAGATGAGTGAATCTTATCAACAAGTCAGACCTTAATGGAATTTTGTATTGAGGACCCACATTCAAACCCAAGTGAGAAAGAAATTATAATTCCTTTGCCGAAGACAATGAGAAAAGTTGTCACTTGTCACAAACATATGCTGAAATTAAACTTTTTAACAAAAATTATAGCCACTTATTACAACATTGCCCACTGTACAGTGATATGTATTTTGTTTTACAGCAAAAATTTAATAACTATTTAATTGCCATGCATTACTTCAGCTGTCCTGCTACATAATGTACAATGATACATTCTACACGTAACTTACAAGATGACTTTCCAGCTAAGAATTTAATTTAGGTCTTCAAGTAAGGCAGCATCCCAGAATTGGGTTCATGTGATTTAGAATCATTTTTTATTCCCATGTCAATAATATGTATCAAATCTGAAGTTTTTAACTGCATCTAAGATTGAAGCCTGAAATAAGCCTCCAAAAATGATCCTGATACACTCACACTTCCTGTTACTTCAATGGGATATGCATATAGATTATGACTGATATGCTCACATTTCCTGCTATTTGAATGGGATAGGCACAGACTGTGTAATGCACTCACACTTCCTGTTACTTCAATGGGATATGCATATAGATTATGACTGATATGCTCACATTTCCTGCTATTTGAATGGGATAGGCACAGACTGTGTAATGCACTCACACTTCCTGTTACTTCAATGGGATATGCATATAGATTATGACTGATATGCTCACATTTCCTGCTATTTGAATGGGATAGGCACAGACTGTGTAATGCACTCACACTTCCTGTTGCTTCAATGGGATATGCACACAGATTATGACTGATATGCTCACATTTCCTGCTATTTGAATGGGATAGGCACAGACTGTGTAATGCACTCACACTTCCTGTTACTTCAATGGGATATGCACACAGATTATGACTGATATGCTCACATTTCCTGCTATTTGAATGGGATAGGCACAGACTGTGTAATGCACTCACACTTCCTGTTACTTCAATGGGATATGCACACAGATTGTGTCATATGCCAACCTGTTTCATCTCAACAACCATTGCTGCAATGTTGAGACAGATTCATACTTGTTGAATCCCCATATTGTGAGAAATAAGATGAATACCCATTTGTGATGTTATGTAGAATCATATTCTGTGGAACACTGTCGCTTCAAAACCTGAAATACAAAACAAAGAAAGACTTACCGATAGCATGTTCCTGGTCCGCAGAAATCTGTAGATCTGTGTTGGTTCTATACAGAAACAAAACACAATAAATAATATAATAAAAAGCAGTATAAAATTCCTATACACTAAATTTAACTTGAAGCAGAAAAATGAACTTATTTTTACACTCTTAACCTTCAATTAGGTAAACCTGCACGAAGATTCATTAGCCAATATGGAATCATATAGGGCCCCTAATGAAGGAAGAAACAAAATGAGGGAAAGAAATATACCTGTTATTATACTACTGTTTCAATTGGTAAAATTCATTCAAGATCTTATTCTTGGTTTATTCAGCAATGCTTTCAATAGCTCAACATACATAACATTAAACAACAGGGAAATGAACTGGAAAGCATGTGGAAGGAACTTGTGACCCAATTTCAGGTACCATCCTGGCATTTCTCTGGAGGACTGAGGAAAACTGTGGAAGACCTCAACCAGGAGAGCTGATCTCTAGGCTGAGATCTGAAACCAGGACCACCTAAATTCAAAGCAGGTGTGTAGCCAATCTACTGCAACATTTGACTACACTCCATTTCAAATTAATCATATTCTTTATAATACACAAACATGTATACACAACATACTTAAGTTCCTTTACTGTTCATCATGTTCCAGCATAGCTTAGTCAGTATAATGACGAGCTGGATGGCCAGGATTTGGTTCCCAACAGGGGAAGATTTTATCTCTTCACCATAACATCCAAACCAGCTATGGGGCGCACCCAGCCTCTTGTCCAGTGGGTACCAGAAGCTCTTTAACTGGAGGTCAAGTGGCCAGGGCATGCAGCTGGCCAGTCACCTCCATCTAGTGTCAAGGCCAAGAATGGTGAAACTATACCTACACTCCCCCATGTCTTCATAGCATAATGCTTAATTAACCAAGCACAAGGACTTCTTATTTTTTTACTGTTAATTATGTGAATGGTTATGGGCTCAACAGTCAGGGTTTGAATTTCTGGCAGATGCAAAGTTTACTCTAAGAGTACCGTGTTCTTCAAAGTGATGTTGTGGTCTGGTAGATCACGTTTCAGAGGAAAGTGCTGCCCTATCTTCAGGATAGATGCAACCTTAAGCTGGAGGCAGCTGGTTCCTCCAAAACGTCGGTCATTATCTAGTAAGCTACATGGCACCACATCCCAGAAGACAGTAATCCTCATAGCCACTGCAGGGAGTACCTCAAATTTCACAGGGTTTTCCCTTTTGCTTATATGTTCCCATCCAGCATTCTATTCGAGGAATACCTGCTGCTCACTCCTTGAAGTAAAGCATCTGCAGGACACACTTCATTGTTCACTTCCATCTATAGCTAAGGTCTATTCTCCCTACACGCCTTCACAGAGTGCTGCATGGGCAAAGGAACAAATTTACCTTTCGCCGTTTTATATATATATACTGTTATTATTCAGTTCATCCTTTCTATAAATTACCGCCTTCATGTCCATGGTTTCTGCTGACCGTCTTACAGTGTATACACTTTTTTTTCACCTTATTCTTCATTTCCACACTACATGGTTCAGCACTAATGTGCCATCTTCAGGTGTCTTTATGCAAGTTAAACTATTGTACTGCATGCCATAATGTCTTCATTCTAAAACGACTAAAATCTGTATTTGTCATATAGGACGATGAATTCTAAATAATAAAACTTTTCAGGATTCTTCCTACGTCGCTGGATCCAGCAGTACAACGCATGCAGTAACAGGAGCAAAAGACAACACAGAACACGATACACAAATATATGTATGAAGAATGCTCACATAAAAGAGGATTGGCGCAATTCGCGTGTTTGAGTGCGACATAGGATGAATCCTGAAAAGTTTTATTATTTAGAATTCATCGTCCTATATGACGAATACAGATTTTAGTCATTTTAGAATGAAGACATTATGGCATGCAGTACAATAGTTTAACGTGCATAAAGACACCTGAAGATGGCACATTAGTGCTGAAACATGTAGTGTGGAAGTGAAGAATAAGGTGAAAAAGTGTATGCACTGTAAGACGGTTAGCATAAACCATGTACATGAATCAGTGTAACAGGACGCTAAAATATAATACCGCCTTCATATTACTGTAAAATCTATTTCTGTTCAATGACTTGTTCAGAAAGCATTTCTTTTCTAAAATGAGCTTGTGTATGTGTACCCTTTGGCACTATGGTACAATGAGACGTAAAAAGGTAAAGTTGTCCCTGTGTTTAACTAATTTAGCACTACACCATGAACGTGTAGGGGGAGTGGATGTACCCATTGGACTGGGGGTTGGGTGGACCCCGGAGCCGGTCTGAACGACTTGGAAAAGATAAAATTCTTGACCCTATCCTGACTCGAACTCCGACCCCTCGGCCGTCCAGCCCGTAGCCAATCGCTATACCGACTGCGCTATGCCGGCTCGTGGTACAATGGGACGCACCGGCTTCTTTTCTAAAGTAGGCATTAAGTTAAGATTATGTTCCTCTGGAATGTGTTGCCATGTAGTTTGGTACATACTTATCGGCGTTAAATTCCATACATTTCACATTCCGCAGCGTACATATTCACTGCCGTGAGAACCTCAAATATCAAAGGGTGAAAGTGGGGCGAAAATCATGTCAGTTTATTTCAACTTCAATTATCTAATTTCAGACATCGGCCTACTTGGAATACTGTGTGTGTCTCAAGTATGTATCATGTATCAAGAACGATTCGTGGCGCCCAAAGCCGCTTAAAATCCAAATCTCATATTCTCAATTCAAATTTTATTCCTTGAATAATGTAAAGTGTCTTTTTCCTGTCTCTCCGATCACGTGAGGAAATGGTGTCATTGAACTACTATGTGAATGTCCGTTGAACGCCTGACCTTGAGAAGCTGCCAGCGAAATACATCAGCCCCTCAAAAGATGGCGCCATAGTGAATATTACCGACTGGTTCAGTTGGTTAGCTATTGTTTCCGTAAATAACCATAAATATTAACATTTCCCACATAAAAAATATAACCTGCATTATTACCTTACACTGCAACCGCGCTTACAAAACAATCTAAACGCTTAGTCTTAAATTTCATGTTCTACGGTTTTACAACATGCAGCCAGTTTCTGGCGCAAAATTTTCGTGTACCTGCATCTAAACTATACCTATTCGATCCTTCTGTGGTCAATTGGGAGATGATGAACTGGAAAATCACATTTGTATGTGAAGCCTGAACCAATTTTGTTACGCATGCTCAGGCAAACCAATCTGATCCCACTAATCTACCTTCAAACGAACATCGGAAAAATACGTAACAAACCTACATTTAAGGACCAGACTTTGTTAATTCTATACCGATAATGTCAATTTATCTACACATATCAACCGCAGTACAGTCAGAGATAGTAAACGTAAATAACATTAACGCTAGAAAATAAAAATAAAGATGTCTAGCATGTGCAACCTGCAGGTATTAAATTGTATGTGTATGTAGGATTTGAGGTTCTCACGGCAGTGCTTATGAAGAGTACTATTTCCTGGGATATACACCGTATGGTCCGTTGAATTTGTACCGACGTTTCGGAGGAACATACCACCTCTTTTTTGGGGGGGCCGAAGGATATGTCGAGCAAGAGAGCTTCCCACCTGCTTTCACATTCGTTTCTTGCTCAGCTTATTCTTTGACCCTGAAAATGGTGGCGATGTTCCTCTGAAACGTCAGTTGACTTCCAACGGAATGAACGACATTATATTCCAGAAGATAGTAACACTCGGTCGTCGACTTACGACCGACTTCCGTTCTGACTGACAGGTCGTAAGTTGATCTGGTCGTATGTCGGCCATATATTTATTAACGGTATTTTTAACCTTTCTAATTTTTATCGTCTTTATAATTTATTTTTAAAAATTTATTGTTAATTTATTTATCATTTTTTGTGGTCGTAAGTCGACGACCAAGTGTACTCTGTACGTGTATGTTCTCAAAATATAACTGTTATGGTGGGGTCTTCATTACCATTTGTGGAACATCAACGACCATCAGCATGTCCACAAAAAATCTACTACTGGTCATATCCTGGGCTTGCATGTGCAATCCAATACATACCTTTCTTTACATCCCCTTTAATATTATCCAATCATCTATACAGAGATCTCCCATGGGGTCTCTTCCCTTCAGAACTTTATCAACGAATATGGAGATTCAAGAATTGTACATGACATGGTACCATTATAACAAATTCATAGCTCAGTTAATAATAACTAAGCTATGAGCATGAACTATGGAACTAAGGTTCAATTACTGGGGGGACAGACATTTTTCTCTTCTCCTCAATGTCCAGACCAGCTCTGAAATCCAAACAACCTCCCATTCAATGTATGGATACTGCAAATGAGGCATGAAGCTGACCACTCACCCCCATCAAGCACTAAGTTTATGAATCCATGAAGCTATACTGCCAACAAGTCTTTCATAGCAGTGTGTTTAATTAAACACAAGGACAACCTGAAGTTTTTTGTAATCATAATATTTGGGCAAGCAAGCTTTTAGGAAACACTTGTGTTTGACCATATTAGATGCTGGCAGCAGAATGTGATCACATTCCATCACCCATACTTCTCCTCACATGATCACTTGCATTCTGAGCAGAATTTGAACTCCACACATGAACTTTAACAATAATGACATCTGAAGTTCTCAAGGAAAAGGTAAAGGTAAAGCTATCCCTGTGACAGGCTGTGGAGACCCATTGTGTTGTGAGACGTCGAGGCTCCCATATTTTCTAGACAATCGGCTCACATATGGCAGTGAGGCTGTCAGCCTTACATGCCAGCCACTCTTTACCCCCCACCCCAGGAAGATTTGTGGTACTCATTTCTGTTAGAGTCCGAACTGACCCCAGGGCCATAGTGCGGACACAAGAATTAAGTCAATTAAAAATCCAATGATCTCATCGGGAATCAAATCCACGACCTTCCGGTTTGCAGCATAGTGCCTCAACCAACTACATTACCAGAGGCAGTGCATATTAGGACAACGATGATGATGATGATGATGTTAACTCTTCCAAAAT